ATAATCCAAAAATACATGGGAATTTACAAAATATTCAGAATGGGTTGGAATTCTATTCAGACCTGCATTTATTCTAACCCTAAATAACTAAATTATTCTAACTGCTAAATCTGTTTATTTTTAATAAATAGTTTAACTTGAAACATGCTTAAATTATTTTAAATTGCATTTTGCAGAGGTAGGCTATTATTCCAATATTGCTAATAATATATTTAGACTGGGATTGTTCTCAAAGTCATATATCTATAACTGATCACGGTCTTCCACTCACATTTACCAAGTTCAAAGTTATCTGCCTTATATTCTATGGTCAAGGTTTATTCAAAATTAAGCATAAATCATTCAATGCAAAGTTTTAAACCAGGATAAAATAAGTAAAATATTAAAATAAAATTGGTTTAAAATGTAAGACAAATGTTTTGGTAACTGGGATTCCCTTTCCATATATGATAGGCAAAGGGGCATATAATTAATTCAGTTAATGACATATGCAAAGCCAAGGACTAGGAAAAAATAATTGTATATGAAAGGTTTATATGTGCAAGGTTAAGGTGTAGGCCTTTTAAAAACTAGCTTATAATGGAACTAGTATTTCACCCTAATACTTATCTGTCATGGGTTAAAATGGGCATGAATATTTATAAAACTCCTATAATATAGGTGTAAGAATAGATTATTGAGGCTATGAAAGTGTTTTATTAGGGATCCATTTGGAGCCCATATTTATAAATAGTATAAAATGAGCAAATAAGTCTTTAGATTATATATGACAAGTATAGTGTATTGTTTAGTGGTTAGACCACAGGTCTGAGAAACGGAAAGAGCTTTGAATATTACTCACAGCTTTACCACTGACTCATTGTGTGAACTTAACTCAGGTAACATAACCTTTTCTGTTTCTTGATTTACTTATCTATAAACACAATGGACCATGATTCTGTATTACAGGACTAATTCAGATACTTTCAGAAATGGCTTTGAAGATCTGAGTGCGCACACATACTAGAAATGATATTGAAATAGCATATTTTCAGCTTTTAAAGACCGTCAATATGCTGTTAGGAGAATGAAGGCCTTAGTACTACAATTAATGCCAGCAACACTGAATTCAGAAAGACACTGAATTCAGAGGGTTTGCAAAATACCTCGTGTCTGTTCCTAGACGAGACTCTTTATCAGCCTCATCTGTTAATCTCTTCTGTGGCATGAATTTTTTTAGGGTACACTTATCTCAGGAGGAGTAAGTTTATCAAAATTGTGTAGAGAACTGAGGTACTGGACAATGCAAAAAACAAAACAAAACCACAACTCCCTTTATTTCCTTCCCATGGAAACCAATTTCATGAAAACAAAACCAACTTTTTCTAGAGTATTATTGTACTCCATACTCTTTTATATCAGAATGGATTCAGAAACAGGTAACTTCTGTTAAAAATCACACTGACATGCTAGCCTGTGGGCATCTTTCTAGGAAGAACTGGGGAAGGCATATAAACACTCAGCCAGTGGTCAGCTTCCCCACCGCTCTCAAAACCAGGGGTTAGTTTTGTTCTCCTGTTCTCCGGAGCCTTTTAAAGTGAAGCATGCGGGTTGAAGGCTGAGAATCCTTCCAATCGAAAGACTTTCCTCACATCTAGAACAAACACCCACAAGGGCCGGAGGGAGGAGAGTGAACCAGACCTCCTTAGATGGTGGACTGTCTGTTTCTTTGCATGCATGCGTTTGTCCTTCTGATGAACTTTCACCTCCCGAACTCTCCTCTTTTCTTTGGGTAAAGTGCAAGGGGCAAGTGTGGGGGAGAAAGGGAAGAGAGAGAGAAAGCAGAGGGGAAAAGAGGAAATTGGCTGGCAGAGCATTTGCTCTTTTGAATTCCTTCCCTTTCACTCCCCTCTGCTGTGTTTTGTTTGTTTGTTTGCTTGGGGAGGACTACAGATTCCTTTCCAGGAAACCCGAAAGAATCCAACAAAGCGAGCCTAAGATTTCCTAATTGCAATCGCCTCACCATTCCCCATCTCCCCCCCCCGACCCCTTCTGTTTGCTCTTCTCCAGGCTGCCTCCTTCCTCTTCTCCCCCCTCCCTCTAGTTTTCTTGGCTTTTCTGCTCTCGCTCCCTTTTCCCAATCTCCGCCGCTCTCCTCCGGCAGATCCCCCCCCCGCCTCCAACACCTCTCTTTGCCGCGCTCCGTCCCCTCTGCCTCCTTCTTCTCCTCCTCTTTCCCTGATTTCCCCCTTCTTTTTGCAAATGCGATGTATCTCCCCCCTCTTTTTGCACTGAGCCTTGTTTACCCAGCAGGTGGATGTGACGTCAGGGACTCATAACAGCAAAAAATAACAAAATCTCCCTCCGCGGGGTGTTATTTTTCCTCACCCTTCTTCCCCAAAAGCGTGTTTTTTCCGCGCAAAAACGCTCAACTCTCTAGCGGTGGCGACACCCGGGGCGCTGGGAGCACAGCCGCGAGCAGCCAGGACGGCGGCGGGGGACCCAAGTGGGCGAAGAGGAGAGCCCTCCCTCCCTCCTTCCTCCTCCCTCCCTCCCCGCTGCTGCTGCTGCTGCTGGATTGCCTTGCCTTGCCTTGCCTGATTACTGCTGCTGCTGCTCTCCCCTTTCGGAAAGCTAGTTCCCGACTCGAGCGGAGGGCTCTATTGTTATTTATTGTGTAGCTGTGTTGCACGCTGTGCCTCCTGCATGGGGCTGGCTGGCAGGCTAGAAAGGGAGAGAGGGAG